TTGGAAATATAAATACTATTTGATCCAGCAATCCCATTACTAGGTTTATATCCTAAAGAAGTGAGAGCCAGGACACTATTAGATATATACACACCTGTCTGTGTTCGTCACAGCACTATTCACAGTAGCAAAGAGATGGAAACAACCTAAATGCCCATCAAGTGAGGAATGGATAACCAAACTATGGTACATACACACAATGGAATACTATGCAACCTTTAAGAATAATGTATAATCTGCAAAACACCGCATAATGTGGATGAACTTGGAGGACATTATGCTGAGTGAAATAAGTCAATCATAGAGGGACAAGCATTGTATTAGTTTCCTATTGGAAAAGGTCAAGGAAAGGTTTATACATAGAAGAAAATTTTGTTGATTATGGGGGTGGGCAGAATTTCTAGACAGGTTGAAAAAAAAAGATATATTTACATACACACACACACACACACACATATATATGTATGTATGTATGTATACACCAAAGATTATTCATGTTATTATTAATTATTAATTTATTATTAATTTATTATTATTAATTATTATTATTAATTATTCATTTATTAACAGGGGTAAGAGGGAGGGGAAATTTTGTTTGTGGGGCATTGGGTTTATGCTAATAGGTGGTAGAATATTTTGGAAAAGGATAGCAATAATGGTGGCACAACATGAAAAATGTAATAAATGTCCCTGAGTTATAAATGTGGAAGTTGTTGTGTTGGTGAATGTCTTGTGTATGTTTTCACCATAATTACTAGCTACAGGCAGAAAGCTGGAAAAAAAAATAACTGGCAGAGGATGAACTGGTAAGAGGACCTGACCATAATGAGATGAAAGAGAGAAAGAAGAAAGAAGATCTGAAAATAACCTAAGGTTGCAAACCTCAGCTTCAAGACAGCAAAGAGTGTAAAACTACTAAAAACATTACTTAAGATGGGGTGATGAGTCCTATTTTCTGCAAATTGGGAGGACATTCATCTGGAGGTTTGTTTAGTCATTCATTCGCACAATAAATATTACTGAGTGCTTCTTATGTACTTGGCCCTCTTCTAGGTGCCAGGACACACTTTGCAAAATATATGCCTCTTCTTGTAGAATTTAGAGTAAATATGTAAACAAACCAATAAATATATAAGTTGGAGAAATGTAAAGAGGGTGATATGTCAGAGTTGCTGATGTAGATTTGGAGTCAGTTTTTGATACTGGTATCCCTAATGCAGCTTTTAAAATCTGCCAGGAATCTGCATTTTCAAAAAGCTCCCTTAGTGATTTTACTGAACACAGATGCTTGGAACCAGCAGCAATCTACTAGTCCTGATCCTAAAATAACCCACAGAAGGGCTCAACCTCTATGAAGAAGCAAATGGAGCAAGAGAGGGCCAGAGGGCCAAGGATGGTGTCCTCTCTGTGGCAGCTTACAGCTTGATTTTTGTCAGCTCTAATTATGCCATGTCATCTCCCACCGGCCAGTTCCTTTTTCTGAATAAACAAGGAGAAGTAAAATCATTTATCTGTTGAACCACATTGAGGCCAAAGAGAGCCCTGGCTATCTGAACAAAATTGATGGAGAAGACAGATGTCAAGATGTCCTAAATTCACTGTGAGTTGGTTTCATTTTCAATGACTGAAATGGCTTGCTAAGTTACAGAAAAAAACATCTATTTCTAAATACATTCATATGCAAATATCAGAAAATGTTCTTTGTGGTTTTCTCACCTTTGCTACAATCGTTGCCAAATAGTGAAATTCATACACACACACACACACACACACACAAAAAGCAAACCAGTTGTGGCATAGTCAATTGCAACTCATGGCCACCCCATATGTTTCAGAGTAGAACTGTTCTCCATCGGGACTTCAATGGCTGATTCTTCAGAAGCAGATCACCATGCCTTTTCTAAGACACCTCTGGATAGATTTGAACTACCAACCTTTCAGTTAGTAGTTGAGTGCTTAACAATTTGCCCCACCCAAGGACTCCCACACACACACACACACACATGCACACACACACAAAAAATAGCTCATTTGTATGGATTTTGGTACCTGGTTGATCTGGCCATCTGCTTCCAAAAGGTCACAGCCTTGAAAAATCTAAGGAGTGCAGTTCTACTTTGAAAACATGGGGTTACCATGAGTTGGAATTGACTCCATGGCAATCTGTTATTCACCTTTCAATTGTATAATCCATTTCTGGGTGCTTGTAATGTAATTATAATGCTGACAAGCCAGGTCTGCTCCTTGAACAGGGCCTTGGATAGAGAGAGTCCCAGTAAATATATATTGAATAACTGAATGAACAAATGCCTCAATCAATCAAATCTCCTTCAATCATTAACTTTAGTTCTTACCACCTAAGACACAATTAAAGGGATGAAAGGAATGGACCCTCTGAAATACAAGAGGAGGGATGTTGGTGGGGTGTTGTGAAGAACCTCTGAGAAATTTTACTCAGGGTCCCAAGATCTGAACTCAAGGACAGGGCAGGACAAGCCAAAGTCACATTGGAAGATTTAACAGTGTGGACCCAGATACTGGTGATCAGAAACCAGAGACCACCCACACCCTTCAACCCCCACTCTCACTCCCCTGGCACACAGAGGTATGGACACACGCACGGCTTACCTTGATGTTGTTGTTGTTATATGCCGTCGAGTCGGCCCCGACTCATAGTGACCCCTCCTTGGGTTTCCGAGGCAGTATCACTACAGAAGTAGGATTGCCCAACCTTCCTTCCGAGGAGTGGCTGGTGGGTTTGAACCACCAGCCTTCTGGTTAGCAGTCAAGTGCCTTAGGCACTATGCTACCAGAGTTCCTGCTTAACCTTGATAGGTGGCTCTAATGGTTCATTCTCACCTTCTGGAAGACTCATGATAGCCAACTGTGATGGGGGATGAATTGATGATAACAGATTACAAGAGTCAAGGACATACCTTACTAAAACATGGTGTAGTGCCAGTGTAATATTTATGGGGACAACTATTTCTTTCATCACAGTGTCAAGGGAGAAACTAATTCTCAAATGATAGGAAATTTCAAATTCAAGTACATTGTTAGTTTATAACACTCCACTGCCTAGCATTGAATTCTGGCTCTACCCTATCAAGGTATTTATAAATTATTTAACCTAATTGTATCTCAGGTTCATCATTTGTAAACTAAGCTTAATAATACTTCTTGCCTCATGTAATCAAAGTGAGGACTAAATAAAATAGTAAACCTCAAACACTTTGCAACAGTACCTGGCACCTAGTGAGCCCTCTGTGTACTTTCTATTATGACTGTTTTTGGTCATTCAGTCACCTCCATCCCCACAAGATTCCTGGTTCCTAGAATATGTAGTAAATAATTTCAGAACACCAATGTCATTTTTGAAGTCTATTCTGCAATAGGCCTGATGTTGAAAAGACCTGCGTGTAAACGCAAACAGTGGTAGTAGATTTGTTTTTCCCCATCTCCCTGCTCCCCACCCTAGCACCCACTATCCTTCCCATCATCTAAGGGGGGACCCTATACTTCCTTGTCTCTCAAAACATAAACAGTCTGACAAAAAAATCTCTTTCACCTGACTATAGCTCTTAGCCTGGCCTGTTTTTTTTAGCTCTGAATTGGAAGCTGGAGTTTCTTTCTCAAAAGTACTGAAAGAAATGTTTCTGGGAAGGTTAAAAACAAACAAACAAAAAAAAAACATTGGCATTGAGTCGATTCCAACTCATAATGAGCCTATTGGATAGAGTAGAACTGCCCTATAGGATTTCCAAGGTGGTAATCTTTATGAAAGCATCTTTCTCCCACGGAGCAGCTGGTGGGTTTGAACTACCAACATTCCAGTTAGCAGAGAAGTGCTTAATTACTGTGCCATCAGAGTTCCTATTTTTGGAAGATAGTGACTTGGAATTAATAACAGTTGATAATCAACTCACATGAACACCAGTTTCCTCCAGGATGGACCTTGTATAACTGCTTGTGTAACACTCAGCTCCTCCTCTTCCCAATTAGCTACGGCAGCCCTGGTTACTAACACAAAACATCAGTGCTTAGGCAATCCCTCTTTAGTTTCAAGGGAACCACTGTTCATGCTTTTGCTTTCTTGGACCACAGCTCTGAACTAGAAAAGAATGACATTTACTTTTCTATAGAGCTTTGCACATTCCAGACCTCTCACATCATTTCACAAAGAGAGGTCCCAAGTTCAGCTGCCCTGCAGGCAAACACAGCAACAGATCTACCTTGACAACAGACTGCATGCCCACTTTATTCAAGAGAGGGAATGTCTTTCGGTTCTGGGTGGTTCCCCAACTTTTATTGGAGGTGGGGGTAAAGGTGACCTGGTTTGCCTGGAATTTGCCTGGTTTTAGCACTGAAAGTTCTGTGTCCCAAGAAACCCCTCAATTCTGGGCAAACTAGCATTGGTCACCTTATGACTAGTCACCAGAGTTGTTCAGCTGCAAACTGGGCCATTCTTAGCATCTGATAAACCACCAAGCAAGTCCAGCACTGGAATACTTAACCCCAGGGCCAGAGCTTCAACCAAAATAGCAATTAGGGTTTATGAGCTGATCAAGGACAGATTAATGGCTTAGCCTCTGATTTTGAGTATGTGTTCTATCAAAACTGGTTCAACTCATCTCAGGGCACTGAATATGCTCATTTGACACTTGCTTCTTCCTTCAGCTCTCCCAAATACAATGGAATAATGGTGATGATAGAATTAAATGTCTCAGTTTCCATTTCAACTGTTCTCTGCCCCTGCTTGACCCTCATTTGCCAGACAGGTCTTTTCCTCCCTTCTGTCCTTCTTTGATCACAAAAGATTAATCAGTTCAGCCCAGGCCTTAGGTGATGAGTTCCTATCACCTCAATATTTAAGTTAAAATTGTCCATGTATTCTCATGGCTTTTCCAGAAAACATGCATATGTCTCTGAGATGGGCAACACATTGCTGCTACTCTAGACTAGCAGTCAAGGAAATTATTGTCTTATTTCTATTATTATAGGTCGCAAAGAAACTGTCTTTGAAGATGAATGAGGTTGCTTTCTATGAGCCATTTATGGACGAGCCCATTGCCATCCCCAACAAGCCTTACACAGAAGAGGAGCTCGTGGAGTTTGTGAAGGAACATCAGAGGTACCTGAGATGCCATGCAAGGGCTAGGGTGGTCCAGGGTCTGGGGAATGGAGGAGAGCCCTTCAGTCCTAACATTTCAGACCCACCAAGAGCAGCAGTCTAAAGTTAGGTTTCCCAGCAGAACTGAAATTAGTAGTATGGCTTTGTTGGTTATTGATAAATTGACCATGAATGTTGCTACATTTTCTAAATATGGGCTTATGCTTGCAACCGTGGTCAGAACATCTCACCTCAGTCAGCAAATCCCCTCAATGTCAGAGCTAGATGTATGCAAAACTCTGCAATAACAGTAATAGTTATTCAGTGATGGCCTTTTATGTGTCAAATATCACACTTTGGGCTTTATAGAAAGTATTTTATCTAATCTTCAACTTCATGCTGGTAATTATTGTTACCCTAATTTTATAGATTAAAGAATTGGTTTCAGAGAAGTTAAGTCACTTATCCAAGGCTAAACATTCTGTACATAGAACTTCTGGGAGGGACAGGAATATTTAATATCACTTAGAGTAGTTTTAACACAATCAGCAAACTTTTTTCTATAAAGGACCAGATAGTGGATATTTTATGCTTTGTGGGCCAGATGGTTCCCATTGCAATTACTCAGCTCTGCAGTTATACCATGAAAGCAGCCATAGACAATATGTAAACAAAAGTATGTGGCTATCTCCTAATAAAACTTTATTTACAAAAACAGGAAGTACAGGCCAGTTCTGGCCCATGAGCTGTACTTTGCCAATCCTTGTTGTAGACAGTATTGGAACATAGAACATGGTGGTGTATTCACTGCCTCACTCATCCACCCTCCCACATGGATGCACATTTAGATTAATTGAACCAAAACACATGATCCCATCACCACGACAATCCTAGCCCCTCCAAGGAGGCAGAACTTAGGGGGAAAAATGTCAACTCTTCTTGTAATTATGGGCTTTAGTCTTCTGAATGTCTGGTACAATTTAGCAACATTCAGAACAAAATGAAACTATGAGCAAAATATAGATCCTGTCTGCTAATCTATACATCTCTAAAGGGTTTCTTATAGATGACCCTGATGATAAATTTCTGCAATCCTGGCCTAGGAGTCCCAAGGCTTTCTGTTTTCTTTCTCCCCATTCTGGGCCTGCTCTGCATACTTAGAAGGGGTCCTTGTCTATGAAAAAGGAAATGGCCTCACGTCCTGGGAATGAGCTGATCCTAGGCCCTCTCATTGTTTGCAATTGACTATAATTGTTGATCTATGAAAATGTTGAGAAAAGGAAGCCCATAGACTAGATTGGTTGTAGGGTTAGGTCTACTACTCTAGGATAGAGAAGTTCTATCTCCTTGGAGGAGAAGCAGGTTCCAGAGCAATTCATGGTCCTGCAAACAAACTAATATTGCATTTTCCGTATCACTGCACTGAGGCTGCAATGTCTGCCATGTGATGCCTGCTAAGAAACTTTTTTTTTTTTTCCAGACCTACTCTACGTCGCCTGCGCCCAGAAGATATGTTTGAGACATGGGTAAGGGGGTGGCAAACCATTTCTGCTTTGTGGAGATGAATATATTCCCCAAGTCCTTAAATTGAAACTAAGTCTTATTCTGCTGGAGTGAATGTCTCAATGGTGTAGTAATTGAAACATGACAACTTCACACTCAATTGAAATCTAATTATGCATGGTTCCAAAGTAAACCTCTTTGATACTATCCATAACAAAAATTATTCCATCTCTGAGTTCATTTCCCAAAGTGACTACTGGCTTTCATTCATTGGCCACTAGAGACCAGGGTTACGTAGCTATGGAGTCAGAGACTTGGGCTCAAATCTGAAATCTGCCACCTTGTTAGCTTTTTATTTTTTTAACTTTTTATTGTAAAGTTTACAGAGTAAATTTGTTTTCCATTCAACTACTCATTCACGTTGTGTTTCCTGACATTGACAGCAATCCCAACAATGTATTATCAGTCTTCCCTCTTCTTCCTTGTGGTTACCATTTCCCTTTGCTCCTTCTTCCTTATCCATTCTTGCCTTCTGAGCTTTATCCCTGGGTAAATGCCATTTGACCTGTTATGGTTGATTGTTCCAAGGAGTTCATACTTCCTGGGTGTTATTGTTCACTCATAGATCTGTCCATTGTTTGGCTGAACGTTGAGCCACAAGGATAAGTTCAGTTCCAAGCTTAAAGGATGCCTAAGGGCCATATTCTCAGGTGTCCACCACTCTCTATCAAACCAATAAGCATGATTTTTTAGATTATTGTGATTTTTGTTCCACAATTTTCTCCTGCTCTATCCAGGATCTCCTATTGTTATCTTTGTCAGAGAGGTGGGCAATGGTAGCTGGGCACCATCCAGTTCTTCTGATCTCAGGGTCATGGAGGCTAAGGTTCACATGATCCACTAGTGCTTTGGAATAATTATTTCCATGTGCCTTTGATTTTCTTCACTCTTGCTTACTCTGGAGAAAAAACCAATAGTTGCATCACTTACAAGTTTTTAAGATTTGCTATTCACCAAAGTAGGATATAGAATACTCTTTGTGGACTATGTTATGGCAATTGACCTTCATGTCACCCACAGCTATGGTCCTGAGCCTTCAGGTACAGCAACTCATTCCCTCAAAGTATTTGGTGATGTCTAAGACATTTTCAGAAACTTGTCCTGTTTTAGCTCTACTATATACATGGACATTTTTACAGCACATGCAAATATATATGTAGAAATTTCATCTGCCATACCTATCTGGGAGTTCTGGTAGCATAGTGCTTAAGGCACTTGACTGCTAACCAGAAGACTGGCAGTTCAAACTCACCAGCCACTCCTTGGAAGGAAGGTTAGGCAATCTACTTCAGTACTGATATTGCCTCAGAAACCCAAAGAGGGGTTGCTATGAGTTGGATCCGACTCTACGGCAGTGAGTGAGTGAGTGAGTGAGTGAGTGATACCTATATATGGTCATGGGTATACTTCTGTTTGCCTACCCATACTTGATTACCTTGTTCATCTACCTATATATCCATTAATAAATTGTTTGTAATTAATGATAGTGCAGGATTATGTATATAATAGTGCTTACCTTTGTTGTCTCTACCTCTCGTGCACCTGTGTCTTCCTTTTCCTTAGTTACATTGTGCTGGTCACCCACTTTTTGTATATTGCCTTTCCCTTTACCCAAATTAATATGAATATATTACCTAATTATTAATTTTCCTTCCCCTCTTCTCCATCACTGGTAACCATCAAGGAATGTTTCTTTGCATATTTAAACTTTCCTCTTTTTTTTTTTTATAACAGTGGACTCACTATTTGTCCTTTTGTGATTGACTTATGTCACTCAGCATAATGTCTTTCTTCCACATTCATCCATGTTATAAGGTGTTTTGTGGATTTTTCATTATTCTTTAATGTTGCATAGTATTCCATTGTGTGTATGTACCATAGTTTTGTTATCCATTTATCCATTGATAGGCACTTAGGTTGTTTCCATCTCTTTGCTATTGTGAATAGTGCTGCAATGCACGTGGGTGTACATATATCTGTTTGTGTCCAGGCTTTCACTTCTTTAGGATGTATACCTGGCAGTGGGATTGCTGCATCAAATATTTTTATTGCTGGCATTTTAGGGAAGTGCCATACCCATTTTTCACAGTTGTGGCACCATTTTATAGTCCCACGAGCAGTGTATGAGATTTCTAATCTCTCCACATTCTCATGAGCATTTGCTGTTTTCTGTCTTGTTTAACTTTTCTATTATTTCTGGGGTGAGAGGATATCTCATTATTGCTTTGATTTGTATCTCTCTAATGGCTAGTGATCACAAGCATTTCTTCCTGTATTTAATGGCTGCCTGAATATCTTTTTTAGTGAAGTGTCTATTCATGTCTTCTGTCCTTTTTTTTAATTGAATTGTTTGCCTTTTTGTTATTGAGGGTGTTAAAGTTTTCTATAAATTTTAGTGATAAGTCCTTTGTCAGGTAAGTTGTTGCCAAATATTTTTTACCACTCTTTAAGTTCTCTTTTCACTTTTTTGGAGAAGTCTTTTGATGTCCATAAGAATTTAATTTTTAGAAGGTTTCAGTCATCTAGTTTATCTTCTTCTGTTTGTGCAATTTTGGTTATGCTTGATAGTATATTTATGCCATGAATTAGGGCCCCTAAGTTTGCCTCAGAAACCCAAGCAGGGGTCAGTATGAGTCGGAGCTGACTCGACGGCACATAACAACAACAACAAGTTTGCCCTTATTTTTTGTTTGATGATCTTTATAATATTAGGTTTTACATTTAGGTATTTGACTCATCATGAGTTAGTTTTTGTATATGGCATGAGGTATGGATCTTGTTTAATTTTTCTGCAAATGGATATCTAGTTTTGCCAGCACCATTTGTTAAAAAGACTGTCTTTTCCCTATTTAATGGATTTTGGTCCTTTGTCAAAGATCAAATTTCCATAGGTGAATGGGTCTACTTCTGGGTTCTCAATTCTGGTCCATTAATTAATGCATCTGTCCTGGTACCAATACCAGTCTGTTTTGACTACCATGGCTGCATAGTAGGTTTTGAAATTGGGAAGTTTGAGATCTCCTAGTTTGTTCTTCTTCTTCAGTAGTGCTTTTTCTTATCCAAGGTCTTTATCCTTTCCATATAAAATTGGTGATTGTTTTTTTCCATCTCCTCAGACAATGTTGATGGACTCTGGATCAGGATTGATTATATCCATTGTTTTGGTTAGTATTGATATTGTCAAATTCTCAGCCTTCCTATCCATGAGCATGGTATATTCTTCCATTTATGTAGGTTTCTTAGTTTCTTGTAGTAGTTTCATAGTTTTCTCTGTATAGTTCTTTTGTCTCTGGTAAGTATTAATCTTTTTGGCAGCTATTGTAAATGGTATTGTTTCCATTATTTACTTTTCAGAAATCTCTTTGTTGATGTAGAAGGATCAGAATGATTTTTGTATGTTGATTTTGTACCCTGCTTCTTTGCTGAATCTTCCAATTGGTTCCAGTAGTTTTCTTGTTGAGTTTCTGGGGTTTTCTATGTTTAGAATCATATCATCTGTATATAGGGATAGTTTTACTTCTTGATAACCAAATTGGATGTCTTTTATTTCCCTTTCTTGCCTTATTGATCTGGCTAGGATTTCCAATACAATGTTGAACAGGAGTGGTGGTAAAGAGCATACTTGTCTGGATCCCATTCACAAGGGGAATGCTTTTAGTCCCTCTCTATTGAGAATAATGTTGGCCATTGGTTTTGCATATATGTCTTTAATTATGTTAAGGAATTTCCATTATATTCCTAGTTTTTATCAGGAATGAGTGTTGGATTTTATCAATTGCTTTTTCCTGCCACAATTAATATAATCATGTGATTCTTTTCCTTTCTTTTATTTATGTAATGGATTACACTGATTGTTTTTTCTAATGTTGAACCATCCCTGCATACCTGATATGAATCCCACTTGGTTGTGATGTATTCCTTTTTTTTGATACAGTGTTGTATTCTATTGGCTAGGGTTGTGTGCAAGATTTTTGTGTCTATATTCTTGAGAGATGTTGACCTGTGATTTTCTTTTTTAGAGGTGTCTTTGCCTGGCTTTGGTATCAGGGTTATGCTTCATTTTATGCATCATAAAATTTTTATGCTTCATAAAATGAATTTGAAAGTAGTCCATGCTTTTCTATGTCCTGGACTAATTTGAATAGAATTGGTGTCAGCTCTTATCTGAATTATTTGGTAGAATTCTCCAGTGAAGCTATCTGGGCCAGGACATGGTTTTATTGTGAGCTTTTTTATTATTTTTTTTTTATTATTATTATTATTCTTTTTTGATTGTGATTTGGGTGAAAGTTTACAGAGCAAATTCATTTTCCATACAACAGTTCATAAACATTTTGTTTCATGACATTGATTGCAATCCCCATAATGTAATAGCTCTCTTCCCACTTCTTTCCTGTGGTTACCTTTTCCCTGTGTCCTTCTTTCTTATGTGTGTTAGGCTGGGTTCTCTAGAGAAGCAAAACCATTAAAGCTTATATATACATTTAGAGAAAGAGAAATTGATCTTAGGAAAATGGCTCACCCACTTACAGAAGCTGGCAATTCCCAAGTTCTTGGATCAAATATCAAGCTGGAGGCTTATCCCAACTCATGCAGCTACAGGGGCTGATGAGCTTAAGGTTGGCAGGCAGTATACCGGCTGTTGACTCCAATGAATGATGAATCCAAGATCTTCAGGCCTAATGGTGGATTGTTCACTCATGGACAGTTGTAAGCAGAACAACGAGATCCCAATCCACAGAACGAGTGTCTCTTTTCCCAGGATGTCCACAAATATATTGGAAGCAGGCCACACCCCTAGGGAAACTCCCTTTCAACGGATTGACTGCTCAAAACATATACATCTGATCCCATCATGGGAATAACCCACATCACAATTGCTTAAACTGCACAGAATTTAGTCCAGCCAAGTTGACACACAGCTACAACTATCACACTATGCTTTCCTACTCTCTGTGCATAT